TCAGAAAAAAACATTGTTTTCTTTTTTACATTTTTGCTTTCAGGAAGTTTAGAACATCGTAACATTGGTAATCATTGATAATCATGTATATTGTTCCAAATATTTGTGCTTATTTATTGTGATAAAAAATTCTATTCATTAGGAAAAAAAAATTTTTCAGTATTTATAATTTGTGACAATGCTTGTTTCTGATTATAAAATAAACCCAGTCTTTCCCAAAGATACAATGGAACTTCCCCAAAGCTTGAAGAACTATATCATAAAATAAAATCTACTTAACCTTTTCTCTTCATAAGTTAATTTTATCTCAGGTATTTTGCTATAAATCCACTAAGTACATGTACTTTTTAAAAATTCTCTCTCAGACTGCAAGTTTTATTGTATGTTTTTGCTCATAACTGTATTCATACTATTCAAGAACAGTTCCTAGCATACAGGAGATGATTAATAAATTTCTGCTTCAAGAATAAAGAACAAATTGATCATGAATGATAAAAATAGGAAAAGTAAACAATATGAACCAAAATAAACCTTTTTTTCTTTATAAGCTAATTAATTTACTACTAGAAAAGGAAACCTATAGATGTTTCCAAATAATATAATAGAAAATAAAAGGTGGAAATAATTTTATCTATAGCACTATTCACTGGTCCTCCTTCCATTAACTTTGATCTTCAGAAGTTAAACCAAGAGTAAAATTCCTTTAACTAGAAAATATCCACAATATCACAAAAAAAGCACATACAGAGTAACTATGATACAAAAGAAAGCATTAACAGTCCAAGTGTTAAAGGCTCAGTCCCCAGCATGATGTTTCAAGAAACCTATAAAATGCAAGGCCTAATAGAGTTCATTAAAGTTATTGGGGGAATCCCTTTGAAGGGAATTATAGGCTCTGATCAGACTCAGCCCTCTTCTTACTTTCTTTTGCTAGCTGGCAAGAACAGTTGGTAAACAGTTTGGCACCACCATACACTCTCACTATAATGTGCTGCCTGCCTCAACACAAGCCCAAAGCAATGAAGTCAATCAGTCACAGGCTGGAACCTTCAAAACTATGAACCAAAATAAACCTTTTTTCTTTATAAGCTAGTTATCTCAAGTATTTTGTCATGGTGACCAAAAGCTGACTGCTACACATAAGATAAATACGCAGAAATGTTTTCTGAAATAATTGCTTTTGGAAGAAAAGATAAAAACCTTATTCAGAAAATAAATATGAAGTGTTTTGCTGCAATATATTCAACACGGTGATAAAGTCTGAAAATGCTAAAGTATTACTCAAGTAATCTGTAAAACCACAGATGTAGAAACTAATAACATACTTTGACTCAAACACCTTTAATACTGTCATCAACTTTGCAAATTCCCAAAACAATGAACTATTCTTTCTTTATTTATTTATTTTAATCATAGATGGACACAATACCTTTATTTATTTGTTTCTATTTTTATGTGGTGCCAGGGATAATAAAAGTTCGGAAGTGAAACCTCCCCTAGCTACACACACATGATAAGCCACTGCACTGATGGTCTCAAATAATAGTTTCCATGTATCCATCCCCTTTGCCTTGTATTTTGATAATTCCCTCTCACTCTGATTTTGGGCTTGAAGCATGACTTTCTTGGCAATATGATGTTCACAACTGTAATGTATGTAAGACATAATTAAGTTTTATATGCAGATGATTGTACACAGAAATTTCCCATATATAAATGTCTAGGAAACCTTCAAAGCATAAAAAGTCTTCCATAAGTCAGATACAATGGCTCATGTCTATAATCCCAGCAACTCGGGAGGCTGAGAAAAGATTGCAAATTTGAGGCCAGTCTAACTTAGCAAGGCCTTAAGTAACTTACAAAGACCCTGTCTCAAAATTAAAAATTTTTAAGAGCTAGGGATGTCACTCAGTAGTAAAGAACCTTGGGGTTCAATCCCCTGTACCATAAATAAATAAATAAACAAACAAACAAACAAATAAATGTTTGTATGTATGCCAGTTATCCATCATCCACGGTGCTTTCCTGCTTAAGCTAGTGACAAAAATCAAACATGTACTCCAACAGATTAGAACTCCCCTATGTGGGCAGAAAATTCAAAATTGCTGCCAAAGACAATATACTTTCTGATTTTTAAATTCAGAAAAACTCATCCTTAGGCATGAATCCATTCATAAACAAGATGTATGCTAGTGTTATTTTAATCCTAAATATATGAATATGGTTCTTTCCAAATTATTGAAGGTAACAGTAGATGTTTTGAAATGTGAAATATCCAGGTTTTATAAGTAGTACAATAATTTAAAACCCCATATTAGCCCATTCATAATTTGTGGGCCTTACTTGGAGCCTGATTCAAACAAAGTGTTAAGGGGAAAAAAGAAATTTATGAAATAAATTATATTCTCTATGCATGTGACAATTAAGATTTAAGTGCTTAAGATAAACTGATAATAAAACACTTGCACATAAAGTCCATGAAGTCTGGGTTATGAAGTTGTACCAACCATCCTGCACTTCATAATATTCATCCTCACCTTCTACACAACTCTTAAGTGTTTAAAAACACAGATATTGCCCTTTTTCTTTGTGTATTGTTCTTACTCCAATTCTATATTTCTCCCTGTGAACTTAAATCCTAACCACAATTAAAAACCAGCAAATGTTTTGCCTCTTCTATCTTTCCAATCCTTTTCTTCACACCAATAGATTCAGTCTCTTTTCCATATTACTTCTGAAACTTATCATTATTTATGTAATATCATATTGCAATTATTTGTTACATATCTGTCTGTCTCACCAACTGTGAACCTTTTGTTTGCTAAGCCTGAGTGATCCAACTATAACTGCATCCACAGTGCCTGGGACAGTAACTATCATAGTGCTTTAAGTGGTCTGTTAACTTGCATACCTCTGTGTATGATTTTACATTCACTCATGAATCTATTCTTATTCTTTCCCTTTTAGGGGAGGGGGGTTGATGAGTTTGAAACCCATCTTTTTATATATACTAAATGTTGATATTAAACAATGTTACTTCAGATGTGACAGGGTGTACCTTGAGAAAATATACTAACTGAAACAAGTCAGTGACAGGACAAATATTATATAATTCCATTTACATTAGGTTTCTAAAATAGTCCAACTGCCAACCACCATGGCACATGCCTGCAATCCCAGCTATTCTAGAGGCTAAGGCAAGAGGAGCTCAAGTTTGAGGACAGTCTGAATATACTAGCAAGATCCTATCTCAAAATAGAAAAAATTAAAAAGGGGTAGGGATGTAGCTCAGTGGTGGAGAGTCCCTGGGTTCAGTTTCCAACAAAATCAAAATAGTCAAACAATAAAAGCAGAAAGTAGAATGGAGGGCACCAGGGACTAGGGAAGAAATGGGGAATTGTTATTCAATGGGTATAAGGTTTCAGTTACGATAAGTTCTGGAGATCTGCTATACAACACTGCGTCTGCCTGTAGTTAACATTGATGTATTGTATACTTAAAATTTATTAAGAGGTACATCTCATGTAAGTGTTCTTACTCCTTCAATCTTAGTATTTTGAGACCAGTCTCCACTATACCTTAACTATAGACATGTTAGCATGCTTTTACTTTCTTCTCCAATGGATTGTTTCCTTTCAGGTCTATAATTGTAACCTTATCTATTGTTGTTATATTTTTAAACCTAAGATCAGAATAATATTATTTATTTATTTATGACTGCATTCAGATTTTCAAAATCTTGCATATAATGCCAACACTCTAATAAATAAACTTCAAATCTGTATTTCAAGGCTAATTTCAAACTTTATACAAATAGTTCAATTGGATATGAATCGATATATTAGTCTAAGCTTACTATCATTAAAAACCTTCTACCCTTTTATACAATTCTATATCTTTTTATATTGTACCCACATCATTCTGGAAATCTGGTTTACTCAATATAATTTGTCACTGGCACAATTGGAAACTTTAAAATTTGCTTTCTTCTCTGAAAGGTGTATATTATACATCATTGTCAATTTATACTTTCTTCTTCACTACTTTAGCACCAAAAACATGTGCATAACAAAAAGACAATCTTAAATATTAACTAATTATTAGGAAGAAGGTAGAGTGCAAAATGCTTTTATACATTTTTCTAAGGGTAAAGAGAAGATTCAAACTATGAAATCCTAACATTTAACTTCTTTTAAGTCTACTAAGAATTTCAAAGATATGCAACCAGAATAATACAACTGAAGTACTCTTTCCTTTCTAGAAAATAAGACTTTCCTTTGAAATAAAAATGGTTATTATTCATTAACTGGGCTGACCATCTCACCCTATCAAGATTATAAAATATACCACTTTTCTTCTTTATTTTATTGGTTTTTAAAGTACTAGATCATGACTTTTACTAATAGCAAAACACAAAACCAAAAATAAATAGGCAAACAGAATGGAATTACTGGAAGACTAATAAAAACAAGAAGGAAAAGTTCCCCTCCGAATCTTTACTCTGATCTCCCATGACATTAGGCTGCCCCTCAGAACTCATTCCCCTTTTTTATTAATCACCTGCTAAACATCATCACAAATACAATTAAAGTTAAAAATTAAAAAAAAAAAAAAAGGGGAAGGAGAGGACCTTACAAAACAGCCTAACAAGCTTAACACAGTATCACAAAGCCAATTCTCTTCCTTTTGTTCCCCGCCCACACAGTGGACTAAAGACTAACAGTAATAGACTAATAGTAATTTCAATACTAGATGTTCTCTGAAAACACCAGTAACATTCAACACTGCTGAATTGTGAAACATATTTCATCTCAGGTTGAAGGGAAAGTATTACTGCAGTAAACAAAAATTTCAAAGGTGTTGCTGAGTATGTCCTAAAATATCTAAATATATAATACAAAAATAACACTTTAACAGTAAAATTTACCATTTTAAACAACTTCTTAAATCTTAATGAAATGACTGCCAACAAAAAAGTTGAAAATTGTAAAAACACTTACTTCATTTCCATGTTTTTGCAGGAATTCAATTTCCTGTTGTGTAAATGTTGTCATGGAGATAGATTTCACCCTGTGCGGTGGATTTAGCCCTCGCCTAAAAAATAAAATATTTCACAAAATTATATTTTTAAAATGAGATGTCATATAATAATTCATTTTTAATTAGCATATTTAAACTCAGAAAGTGTTCTCATTCCATAAACTGAAAGTATTTAAAAATTATTTTAAAACTAATAATATTCACAACAGATGTCAAATTAAGTTTAATTAGACTGATACTAAATAATATATTTGAAGATAAATTCAATTAACTACCCAAGAACCCATAGCACCAATATAACACATGCAGTATTGCAGTATCTAGAAAAATCAAATACTGCTTTAGAGTATTTTCAGTGGAGGGAAAAGACTATGAGAAGAGCACTATGAAAAGAATCTAAATTTTAATCATTTAAATATTTAATGTTTCCTAACAAAAAGACAATGATGTGTTAAGATTGGAACTACTACTTTTAAATAAGTTTGAGGCTAATTTAGAAAACTGTATGAAAGCTAAAGAAGGAAACTTGAGGTAATTAATCAATATGTATAAAGTCCCATCTCTCCATCAATTCAAATAAGTATTTATAATAAAGAACACATTCAATCACCTCAGAGGGTAGTAAATGTTCAAGAGGGAACAGCAGGGTCATAGAGAAGGGCTTAATAACAATTGGATATGTTTCATCAACATTTAAAGTCTTTCAACCTAGAAGCCTTTCCATATGGATGGCCTTACAAAGACTTTATCTTGATGATCTTTCATCAGGAACATGAAAAATTGAATAGAAGTGGCTAATCCACCCACAAGAACTAGGATTAAATAAATCCATGCATAAAATTACTTTGGGGTCATGTCTTTTCATAAAGGCTTATTTGGTACCTAGGTTCTACAGCAGATTAATAATATTTTCATGGAATTCGTCATAATCAACTTGCAATCATCCATGCCAATTAAATATGAGGTTTAACAATATAAGTGTACCAAAGACCTTTCAGAACTCTTCTAAAAATACTTTTGAATAATTAAATATGGTGTAAAATATTCTAGAAATGCACAGTTTTAAGTCAAAACACTAAGGTTCAGAATTAACAGAAGCTCCTCAATTTTCATATCCTTATTCTTTCTTCCCAATCCCCACCACCATTTGTCAGTGATGAATAATATACCTTTCAGGTCAAGATCTAAATTAATGTTACACTTTCTCTATTTCACATTTTGAGTGGAGAAAGGTTAACGTGGGTTTCTGTATTATTTCTGCTTTCCTTGTTTTAAATTTTAACTAATACACTGCTTTCCTTCCAGCTCTTGATAGGTCATAAAATAAGACTATACAGGGGAGACACTAAACAGCAGCAATTCTATTCTAGTTAAATGTTCAAATTTAACTGTGAAGAAACAGCTTCAATATGAATAACTTTCAAGTACCTTTACAATTAATTTGCAATCACAAATTAAGGCTCTAGAGATTACTTTTAAATCTTGAGAATACTTATAAAATTTCTAAAAGTAGGAAGTCATTATTATTCATTTAAAACATTACACTGTTTTCCAATCTATCTGCATTGTAAGAATGAGACTAAGTTTACCACTTGGGGGAAGTTTATTAGTACATTTACTATACATGTATGCATATATGCACATATATATACATTTTAATACCTTACCTTGTCCCAAAACAATTGAAGCAGAAATTATCTTACTATTATTTCTCAAATGTTTCTACTCCTTTCCTCTCACTTTGCAACTCAGGGTCTCCTTGTTCCCTCATATCTTCTCCTTTTTCTAGATAAGTTTTTACCTTTCTATTTCCTTTGTAATAGCTCCTTTTTGAAAACAGAAAAGGTAGAAAGAAAAACTTTCCTTGAGGATCAAACACTAATACTATAAAGGTACTATGTTTCGGACATTTTAGAGTAAAGAATTACACTCCTCTATACCTCTCAAATTGTTCAATAAAGAGAGAGCAATTCACAAAGCTAACTCTTGATATTTTAAAGTTACATTACATAGATGTAATCTCATGAATGCAATACAATGTATAGTGTATATACTTATCTCCTAGCACTACCAGGAGGTATTCATATTACCTAAATAAATGAATAAAATAACTTAGGAAACAAATTCAACCAGAATGTACTCATAACCAAACTATGAAAGGACATTCTCCCCTTAATAAGAATACTCCTTTACAGAATTTAAGTATTTGTAATACACTTAAAATTGGCTCAATTTACAAAATTGGCAAAACTATTTTGCAAGACTACATTTATTACATAAATTGATTAATCCCAAGGAGATTTTATGTGTATTCATGTTGCTTTCTCTAATTGTTCTTGTATATTCCATTTATTCAGGCAGATCAACTAAATACCCAATGCAAGAATATACAAGAATTTCTTATTTTAGACTCCAAAAGCTATGTACATGGTTATCAATACTTATAAAAGAGGGTGGTGAAAAACTGAAGACTGACTTTATTAATCTCTTTAGTAACAGAATGATGAGTTTGCAGTGAAAAATGAATAACCTCATACACTGATGGTAAGATAAATGCACCAATTTGTGCCAACCACCTCATGTATGCCATTTGGTCCAAAAATACCACTTTGGGGAAGTTATACTGAAAGAGATATCCGAAATGTAAATAATTATGGACAAGCTGTCCAAACATTATTCATAATAGGAAAACATTAGACTTCAATACCAAAAAGGTAGTGATTATGAACACTGACACTTGTTTTAATTTTATGAGATTAAAAATTAATAGTACTTCCAGAACTACATAAAAAAAATCTTCAAAGGAAACCAACCAAATATTCCAAAATGCTAACATTCCATTGAAGATACAAGACAAAATTAAATGGTTTTTTTCTGTTTTTAATTTTCTATTATCTTAAAATTTTCCACATTGAATATGTACTATTCTATAACTGGAAAATATGGCAAGAAATATTGGAAAGTCTAATTGACTAGTAATGGCAGTCAGAGAATCTGGACTTTAAGACCTGGCTTTATGAATGTGAATATCAAAATGAGAAATAGAGCATGGTCTTTCTTTGTTGGGCAGCATCCCTGGTCTCCACTCACTAAATATCAGTAGGGTCCTCCTGTTTTCAGACACTGCCAAAATCTGTGGAGGGAAAATCCCTGCAATTAAGAACCATGCACACAGACACCCCGCCAAATCAACCTAATAAAATTCCTTTGCATCTCTATCCAGATATAAATTCTACCAACGTTCAATCTTCTCCAAAACATTGTATACTTTGCTCCAAAGCCAACAAAAAATTCAATCTTTCCATAACTTTTATGATCAGAATAACAGAACACAGAAATGAATCTCTCAAAAATAATAACAAAATAAATATGGAAGTTGAAAATATATGTGCACATACATATAAATTAGAAAACAGTCTTGAGGCTGGGATTGTGGCTCAGCGGTAGAGCGCTCGCCTAGCATGTGTGAGGCCCTGGGTTCGATCCTCAGCACCACATAAAATAAATAAATAAAATAAAGATACTGTGTCTAACTACAACTAAAAAATAAATATTAAAAAAAAAAAAAAAAGAAAACAGTCTAAGGAAAAGTGTTCACCACAACAACCAAGAATGATCCATATGATGTAAAGAAACTGGTTGGCAAAAACAAATTTCTAGGGCAGAAAACTTATTAAATATTTTATTAAGTATTTTTATTAAGTATTTTAATTGGCACCCTGCATATTTAATCACATTCTACTTTTAGCAGTAGTATGGAAAACTAGATATTTTGAAAATGCTTCTGTCTTTTCAAAAATTTTAAAAATAAAATTGCTTTTAAAAATGAAATTTCTAACCCTTTCTGGACTTTTTAGAAAGTAAGGTTAATTTCTAAGGACCAATCCCTTCCCAAAAAAGAAAAACAGACTAATTTAAAACTCAAAATTTTCTGAAATGAAAATTTATAAATGTGAAAAATAAGTCAGCTAAAGAGCAGATTAGACATATCTGAAGTGATAATAAATGAACTGGAAGGCAAAAAGAAAAAAGTAAATACAAAGGTAACACGGATAATGCAAAAATAGACAAAAAAAGAGGATAAAATTAAGAGGTCTAACTTGCATCTTATCAATTCCTTTTCTGAATAGGAGAAAGTAGTGTAAGAATGAGAGAGAGAAACATTTGAAGAAAAATGGCTGAGATTTTTCAGATCTAACAAAAGGCACATATCTACAGGCATAGCTTATCAAAATTAGGGTACATAAAATCCATGGAAGCATTCTGGTAAAACTTCAGACACATCTTAAAAGCAATCAAAAAGAAAAGACCGAAGAAATAAAATTTGACAGATTAAATAGACTTCTCAATAAAATATCAGAATATTAACTTCAAGTGGTATAAGGAAGTAACTGTTATAACCCCAGAAAAGCTATTTTTGAAGTATGAGATGAAAATATTGACATCTCAGATTTTAAAAATCTAAGAGTCTACCCCAGAAGATCTTCACTAGAAACATATTTTCATATACCTTAAGAAAGAAAATATACCTAAGAAGTCTTGAGATATAAAAGGGTGAGCAAAGAAACTGACAAGTACACAAGGCAAATCTAAACAAACAATTATCTGATCACAATAATATCCACTTTGTAGGAGGAAAAAGAGAAATTGAACCCTTTTTTAAAAACATTATTAAGGACTCTCGTTATATTAAAATAAAACTGAAATGTTTATATTTAATGTGTATTCCTGAAAATTGATGCCATTACCCTTTATAGCTAAGCCTAGACTAGCCACCACGAGAACTCAGTGTTTTATAAATGCTTACTGTAATGATATTAGTCTTAACTATTTGATGGAAGTGTTGGGCAAGTAAACCACATCATTTTTACAGGGCTAATACTGAGGTACCACCCATTCCAAATCTTAAAATACACACTTTGAGTCTTCAGTTTTTTCCAAAAAAAAAAAATGTTTGAGTCATTGAATAGCTTCAGTATTGATGTTTTGAAATACACCAGTTAATTTGTTCCAAGTTCCAAAGTAACCTACTGGTGCAGTCTAATATGTTTTTG